GGTTCAATTAAATTAAAAGTTTTAACAATATGTTATAATTATTATATTACTGGTTGGATTAAATTAAAAGTTTTAATAATATGATATAATTAACACATTACAAGTTGGATTAAATTAAAAGTTTTAACAATATGATATAATTATTACATTACTGGTTGGATTAAATTAAAAGTTTTAACAATATTATAATCAATGCATTACTGGTTCAATTAAATTAAAAGTTTTAACAATATGTTATAATTATTATATTACTGGTTGGATTAAATTAAAAGTTTTAATAATATGATATAATTAACACATTACAAGTTGGATTAAATTAAAAGTTTTAACAATATGTTATAATTAATGCATTACTGGTTGGATTAAATTCAAAGTTTTAATAATATGATATAATTAATAGATTACTAGCTGTTGTGAATTAAATTCAAGCACATCAATCAGATCCTTTCTAACTCTTCATTTTTTCAAGAGGAAACAAGTTAAGAAATCTTAACCTATCCATCCCACGTATCATTCTACTAGCCCTTCTCTGTATTCTTTCCAACAATTTAATGTCCTTCTTAAGGTAAGGATTCCCAAGACTGAATACAGTACTCCAGATGTGGCCTAACCAGTGCGCTATACAATAAAATTATAACCTCTTTAGACTTGTATTCAATATTTCTGTAGATACAATCTAAAATCCTATTTGCCTTACCACTAGCAACAGCACATTGCTTGGGTGGATTAAGAGACTTATCAACCAGAACTCTAAGGTCTGTTAACGTTATTCCCATCAAAATTATACCTATAATTCAAATTGTGATATCCTACATGCATTACCTTACATTTATGAACAAGCTATCTACCGTTTATTTGCCCAGCTCACTAAATAATCCAAGTCCTTTTGTTAAGTAACAGCAGCATTACCTTACATTTATGAACAAGCTATCTACCGTTTATTTGCCCAACTCACTAAATAATCCAAGTCCTTTTGTTAAGTAACAGCAGCAGCTTTCTCACAGCCAACAAGAAACAAAAATAATATATTGATATTTATTTATCTATGTCATCGATATGAATTAAAAAAACAACAAGCATCTTGCATGTTGAAAAGAGGTACAGATATTTTTAAAAAATGTAAAGAAACAAAACCAGCTTTAGTAAACCATTGATGTCTACAATATACATACAGCTATATACAAATAATAGCAACATGCAACTGTATACAAATAATAATAACATACAGCTGTATACAAATAATAGCAACATGCAGCTGTATACAAATAACAACATGTAGCTGTATACAAGTAATAATAACATACAGCTGTATACAAATAACAACATGTAGCTGTATACAAGTAATAATAACATACAGCTATATACAAATAACATGTAGCTGTATACAAGTAATAATAACATACAGCTGTATAAAAATAATAACATTCAGCTCTGTACAAATAATGACATACAGCTATATACAAATAATAGTATACAGCTGTATACAAATAACAACATGTAGCTGTATACAAGTAATAATGACATACAGCTGTATAAAAATAATAACATTCAGCTCTGTACAAATAACGACATACAGCTATATACAAATAATAGCATACAGCTGTATACAAATAACAATAACATACAGCTGTATACAAATAACAACATGTAGCTGTATACAAGTAATAATAACATACAGCTGTATAAAAATAATAACATTCAGCTCTGTACAAATAATAGCATACAGCTGTATACAAATAATAATAACATACGGCTGTATACAAATAACATGTAGCTGTATACAAGTAATAATAACATACAGCTGTATAAAAATAATAACATTCAGCTCTGTACAAATAACGACATACAGCTATATACAAATAACATACAGCTGTATACAAATAATAACATACAGCTGTATACAAATAATAACATACAGCTGTATACAAATGATAACATACAACTATATACAAATAATAACATACAGCTATATACAAATAATAATGATTTATAACAAAAATACAAGTTAAACTCTTTCTAAAGTTATTTAATCTTTTTAATTTTATTAATAGAAATTAAGTAAGGGTTTATTAGCTGTTAGTATTTCTTTTTTTTTATTGGTTCTATTTTTGATGTTTTGGAATCTGTATATCTTGTTTCAAGTTGTTTGTATGATTAAGGTTGGGGTTATAGCTAATGATTAGAATGTTTATAACTACTTTGCTACTTATACACAAACACCATCACCAAAAAACATGTAAAAATAATGAATATGACATGTAGCGTACATTTTCTGATAGACTTTGTGTTTTAAAAACTGTATTCAGGTATTATGTTAAGAATCTTGTTTATGTAAAATTCTTTGTTTGATATTCTTACTCAAGGTAGAGTATTATCTTATTACCCATTTTTCTAGTTTCAGAAATCATTTACTTTGAGAAAGACAGTTTTTCTTTCAGGTGCACTTTTTATGATTTTCAATGGGATCACTTCAGAAATACTGTGTTTCTAGGTATGTTTGACCTTCGGCAAAGAATTTCTCTTCTCAAAGAATGTAGAACCATGGGTTTAACGAGACTTTACAGCATTCCTTTGTATCTTCGTCTGAAGAAAAAACAAAAAGAAAGACAACAGAGAAGACCAGCATTAACAGAACTGTTGGGCTATTTAAAGGTAAAAAAAAAACTGTTAAAAGGCTCTACTTGAAGACCAGCATCAACAGAACTGTTGGTTTATTTAAAAGTAAAAAAAAACTGTTAAAAGGCTCTATTTGAAAACCAGCATTAACAGAATTGTTGGGCTATTTAAAAGTAAAAAAACTGTTAAAAGCTTCTAGTTTTTTCCAGTAGAAGATTGAATTTATTTGACATTTTATGATATTAAATACAATTTCTAGACAATAGATGGAGCTCACTGTGATATCTGTACAAGTTTCATATTCATTATCTTTATTTTTTTAGAATTATGTAGTGTAAAAATGTAATCTGATCAAAACCGTTTACACGTATGAAAACAATTGAGTTAGAATATACGAGTTTTCCATATAAATATGGGATCTAAGATAAAAAGGGACAATTAATATAAAACAACAAACCCTGTAAAAAAATTGAAAATACCTAAACGTCTTTTCTTATTGCAACTAAAACAAGAAGCAACGTGAGTATTAAAGTGGTCAAGTTTTACGTTTCATCTTTACAGTTTTTATCTTTTTATATAACATTTTATCTTTATATGGCTGACCCCTTATTCTAACTTATCTGTTTTTGTAGATGTAAAATGCTTTGGTATCAATGCTTTTTCCTTTGATTATTATTTTAAAGTTAATTAAAAACAAGAATCTTCCTGAAATGGCATTTGAAACCCATCTTTAACAGGAAGCTATCAACACAAATGAAGTATCTTGGACCACTCATTACCTCATTTCAGATTTTCCATCTAGGTGTTGAGGCATCAGTTTTAACTTGGTGGCTATAGAGAGTAACTAACCTTTAAAACTATCAAACAAAATAAATTCTCAAATCTTACTGTAGATTAATAAGTGTTCAGTAACTTACTCCAATCCTCATTAAATTTCTTTAGTTTAGAAAGTTTTATTTTTACAAAATATTAAGGGAGAAATCATAATGAAGAAAATCTTGAATAGTTCTCAGGTGAAACATTTTGTACAAAAGAAAAAAAGCTAAGTTATTTTTAAAACTTACATGTTCCCCAAAGGGTTAGCAATAAGTTTACAGACGTATGCTAAAATCTGGGGTTTTATTCCCCTTGATGGAGAGAGTGCAAGTAAGCAGTTGTGTAGGTTTGTGCTAAAACAACAACAAAACTTTAAATTGCTATAAAAGTAATGTTATTCTATGTTATTGTTAGGATGAAGGTTTGTGTTCACAGTGGCTTCAACGACAGACTGTCTTAGAAGGATCACGTGGCCTTTCTGATCATGCACCTTCTGCTGGTAAGTTCAAGTTAGTTATGTGACACCAGCTAATAACATGTTAGGTATAATATATTCTTAAAACTAACTAGTAATATATTAATTATATCATATTGTTAAAACTTTTAATTCACACCAGTTAGTAATGTATTAATTATATCATATTGTTAAAACTTTTAATTCACAACAGCTAGTAATGTATTAATTATATCATATTGTTAAAACTTTTAATTCACAACAGCTAGTAATCTATTAACTATATCATATTATTAAAACTTTTGAAATACTTTTTACATTTGTATAATATTGTTTGATATAACAGTAAATCCTCATGAAACTTATCACTCATTTCACTTCATAGACATAAAGCTGGCCATGGTGAACATCTACTGCTCACGTCTTAAAGAAAGAGCAAGAAGAAAGTGTACAATGCAAGAACACGGACTCATTCATCCAAGAAAAGCACTGGTAATGTGGAGGAGGTACGACAACACCCTTAGTAAGCCTTTAACAGACAAACTGTCTGTTTTGGCCCAGTTGTTAACTGGAGATGAATTTATTTACTTTCTTGAAGGATTACATTGTAAGTTTATATACTTGATTTTCAGCCGAAGTTTTCTTTTTTGTATTTGCTATAATAAAGTCAGTTCATCATCTTTTGTGAAATTGTTTAAAAGGATATGATCTAAAATAATGTTATTAAACAGTGAATTATCAATTTATACTGTGAAGAAGTACAGATCTTTAGAAAAATAGTGTTCATGACATATAATAATTTCAGTTATTAGAACATGAAATAGCAATGAAGGATAGCAAGAGAATTTTTTGGTAAACCTAGGCTATCCTACCCGCTTAGAAAAAACAACTTCATAGCCAGCCCTTAGTGTGGAAATATTTTTCAAGCTTTCTCTTAAACTCACTCAAATTAATTGCATCCACCACATCTAAATGCAAGCCATTTCAGAGGCCAACCACCTTGTTAGGAAAATAAAGCTATCTGAGCTGAAAATGACTCCTACTCTGTGTCCCCTAGTTTTACCATCTCACTGTTAACCCTATGGTGCCCGGATTTGTTATCAGAGAGAAGGTAATGCCCCTCTCGTGACATTTCGTTACAAAAATAAAACTAGTGGGTGAAATTGTTTGAAATTTGACAAAAACGTTCCTAAAAGTATGTAGTTTCAGAAAAAATAGAATATTTAATTTTTACTTTTTCTACTGTTTCTAATAAATATTCGTTATTTCATTTAGTTATTCATTCTCTGAATGGTTCACATGTAAGGTGATTTTTATGTTAAGTATAAAAATACTATTTTTTATCTTACAGTTTTCACATTTTACTTGCATAATCCTAGAACCTCATAAATGAACATCAAAAGTTTTTTAATTACGATAAATGTTTATATTTTATTTTCCATTTTCTCTACTATATCACTAACTATCTATTGTCATCAACATACAGTGCAATAAAGTGTTTAAAATTAACAAATGGAAATATGTACAGACCTTTCAACTCCTCATAGAAATCCACTAGAATAATCATATTTTACTTATATGCATAATTTCACATCTTTATCTTTTCACTTATAGTTTACTTTTAATTTTTGTTTCAAATTCTTCATCTTTTATCTTTTTTGCTGATATGTCAACTGATGTCTGTGGAACTTTATGAAAGTATTTTGTGAGACTCACCACGGAGACGTGTTGCCTAAACAAGATAGCGCCATCTTGTTTATAACATTTCACAATCCAGTTAACTTATAAAAATCATTAAACCATTCAAGTATGATTTGTGAAACAAACATAATACATAGTTAACTAAAATATAAAAGTAAGACCTGAATACAACTTAACTGTCTCTCTAACTATAGTATATTTAGGTAAGAAACCACCATCGATCGAGCAGACAACAATACTAATGGTAGTTACATCTACTTCAATTTCGAAAACTGCACGCCAATTTTAAATTAACTGTTGGTGGAGTGTAGTGTAAACTGAGCTCTTTCTAACAACTATATACACTTGTGTCAACTAACTACATGTATGTTGTAGATCTCAAGGCAAAGTATATATAGAAGGGGGTCATGGCACCCGTCAAGGGTAGGAAAATATATATCTGTTCCCCCAAGAATGTAGCTACACATTTTGGATCTTACGTGTCTGGTTACTCATGTACATTGCCAGGTTATGTGGCTAAGAGTTAACTGCTGCTGAAGTTGAGATTTTTCATAGTATGTGAATCACGTGACACGAAAGCCACAGTTTAAGTTTTTTTAACACTCCCTTTAACACTAAGTAATTCAAATTATAACATACATTATAATGTTACTTTCATTGACATATATTCGTAGCAAAGTGGTTTAATTAAATTTTTGAATGTAATACAGTACCATACACAGAAATAAATATAAAAATGCTGCCGGGCTCCATAGTGTTAAGCATGAGAACAGGTGATGCATCAACACTGTCAATTCTCAACGATCTTACACAATAGAACCAGCTATATTCCCTAACAAGAAGTCTCCTTCCTGCCCTACTTTACCAGGAAGTGTTCGTGTTGTTTTGCTAAAGTCTGTTTAGACTCTTGCTTCTCTCATGGTACGAGGTCGGACACAAGTCGACATTTAAGTTTCTAGGGATAAAATGGAACCAGCTGTATTCCCTAACAAGAAGAAGGAGCAGAATTCTTGGGTTATAACTCATTCTATTAAAAAATGATGACCTTTTTCATCAAATTCTGTGTCGTTAGCATTTAAGAGATCACTTGCCAACTTTCGTGGTGTTTATAGTATATGTTGTCATAATGTCTAATTTCTTATACTTTTATTTCATTCCATTAGCTATCCAAATTAATTGTATTATTTATTACTTGGTGATTTTAGTTTCTTACTCGACTTTAAATTCATGAATGGTGAATCTCGGCACATACATTGCTCATTTCTTATATCTGTTTCTCCTTCTTGCCCTACTTTACCAGGAAGTGTTCGTGTTGTTTTGCTAAAGTCTGTTTTGTCTCTTGTTTCTCTCATGGTACGAGTTCAGACACAAGTCAACATTTAAGTTTCTAGGGATACAATGGAACCAGCTATATTCCCTAACAAGAAGTCTCCTTCCTGCCCTACTTTACCAGGAAGTGTTCGTGTATTTTTGCTAAAGTCTGTTTAGACTCTTGTTTCTCTCATGGTACGAGTTCGGACACAAGTCGACATTTAAGTTTCTAGGGATACAATGGAAGGCAATCTTTATTGGAATATAGAAATTGATTCTGCCAAACCAACATACTATTAAGATAAGACAGTTAGACTTATTTTATGATAAGAAAAAGGCATAAAATACACAAACAGCATCCAACATTTTAATTGAAAAAGACTCGAAAGGTAGTGTATAATTAATAAGATAATTTTGAACAAAATAATAAACGTTGAACAGTACATGTATCAAATACTTTGTGAAGTTATGAATTTTAACTGATAGTGAAGACTGAACCACATCAGCCTCCACTCCTTCATCTACCACAAATGGACCTCTAAACAGAGATGGTGAAGGAGGATAGAGCAGTGAAAACACAGAGTTTGATGACTCTAAATATATAGTTGTTAACAGAGGCTTTGATGACTAAATATATAGTTGTTAATAGAGGCTTTGATGACTAAATATATATAGTTGTTAATAGAGGCTTTGATGACTCTAAATATATAGTTGTTAAAAGAGGCTTTGATGACTAAATATATAGTTGTTAATAGAGGCTTTGATGACTAAATATATAGTTGTTAACAGAGGCTTTGATGACTAAATATATATATGTTAATAGAGGCTTTGATGACTAAATATATAGTTGTTAATAGAGGCTTTGATGACTAAATATATAGTTGTTAATAGAGGCTTTGATGACTAAATATATAGTTGTTAATAGAGGCTTT